TCTATTTACTACCAAAGTCTTAATGTTTCTAATTCTATACTCTCTTTCACCTATTATTGCCGACAATTTTCTGTAAATGCCGTCCAAATGCTCATATGCAACAAACGCTGGCAACGGCCATTGCTCACGCTGCACACTGACACTTAAATATATAGCAGGTAGGAAAGCGTGATCGCTAAATTCGATCGACGCTCGCTTGATTTCATGCCTTCACAGCACGAATACACATCCAACAGCTTCCATCTTTGTTTCTATTTCAAGAACAGTGTTCACTTGTTATAAAAACATACTGTCTGTGTTCGTAACCCAGCTGTGTCACGCGAAATCGCACAAAGACTAACGAAATTCTCGCGTTCGCTCCCTTCGCCCAGTTTATGTAAATGGCTGCAAGTACAGGGCTATAGTAGACTGGTACTTGCTTCCACCTCGATTACTCGATGGGACCCATCGGGGGGGACCCATCGAGTAACTAAGCCAAGAGGTGGGAGCGAGTACCAGTCTAAGGGCTATAGGCGGCGCACTGCATTTTGCGAAACTACCACGCTGCTTTCCAACTCCTGTACGAGCCTCGCCAGTGGAGCGTGGTAAAAACGTTGCAGCGTTGCGGTGCAAGAATGAGGTCACGAAGAGCGCCGGTGGGTGTTTCCTGATTCTGGCAGCCATTTACATAAACTGGGCAAAGGGAGCGAACGCGAGAATTTCGTTAGTCTGTGTGATTTCGCGAGACACAGCTGGGTTACGAACACAAACAATATGTTTTTATAACAAGTAAACACTGTTCTAGAAATAGAAACAAAGATGGAAGCTGTTGGATGTGTATTCGTGCTGTGAAGGCACGAAATCAAGCGAGCATCGAGCGAATTTCGGCAGCACGCTTTCCAACCTGCTATATATTTAAGTGTCAGTGTGCAGCGTGAGCAATGGCCGCCGACAGCGTTTGTTGCACATGAGCATTTGGACGGCAATAATAGGTGAAAGAGAGTATAGAATTAGAAACATTAAGACTTTGGTAGTAAATAGAATTCACATTTATTTAGCATTATATTTTATTGAAACGCTCCCAAGTGCCTGTGATCGGAGGGTACCCTGGGTACAGTTTAATATATCGGAACAAACCCTGTTACTATATAATATGCCGGGCCGTACCTCGCCTACTCCATTAACGAGACTAGGGAGTCTCCTACGCCTACTCCCTAACCCTAACGCTAACCCTAACCATATCAGATAGTTACTAGGGTAGGCTACATTCCGATATATCGAACCGTACCCAGGGTACCCTCCGATAGTACCCTGGGGGACATAGACCCTATGAGCGTAAATAACAGTAGTCAGTACTACCACAGGCACTTGGAGCGTTTCAATAAAATATAATGCTAAATAAATAGGAAATCTATTTACTACCAAAGTCTTAATGTTTCTATACTCTCTTTTACCTATTATTGCCGACAATTTTCTGTAAATGCCGTCCAAATGCATCAGTGTTAGTGTCAGCAGTGTCGGTGTGCAGCGGCAGCAGCAATGGCGGCGGCGTGTGTTTACAGATGAGCATTTAAACGGCATTTACAGGAAATTGTCGGCAATAATAGGTGAAAGAGTATAGAAACATTAAGACGTTGGTAGTAAATAGATTTCCTATTTATTTAGCATTATATTTTATTGAAACGCTCCAAGTGCCTGTGGTAATACTACTAACTAGTAACCCATAATATATGAAAGAAAGAGAGTGGTGATGTAATCCACATCACATTTCTAATAAATGTTTCTTCTACTTCTACTTCTATATCTGACAAGTCCGCTAAGGGATAAACTCCAGGCTATAGCTAGCCATGGGGTGTGACCCTAGGCTTGGGTAAGCCTAAGTTAGGGCCTTTTAGCCTGAATGCACTGAGGGTGGCTCACAGCCAGGCAGTTTTCTTTTTTGCGCCTCAGTGTTTTTTACGTCCCCTGCGCCTTAGTATTACTGAGAGTCGAACCGCCACTTATACGTGGTCATCCGTAGCCCGGCGAGTTCACAGTCCCCCATGCTTGAGCAAGGCCAGGTTTTTTACATCCTTGAGAAAATTCACTGCCCCGGCCGGGGTTTTCTGTTTGGGTATAGATGTGTGATTTATTACCAAACTTGTTTGAACCGTTGTCATATGATTGATAAAACAATGTTGTTGTTTTCTTCGACAATCTAATCACTAAATTAGTTCATATTTAGCTAAGGTTAAATTTGTTACGTTTGTTTTATGACGTTGTTTGATTATTTTTCAAGGCAATGGATCCATTTGACTACCTCTTGGATGTAGAGAACAATCGACTACTCAGCTCGCTGTTGGACTTTGAGAATACTCCGCCGCTAAAGTCTGGTTCACAAGAATCCAAACATTGTAGTGTCACTGATGATGATAGTGAGCCGACATTTTACCAGGGTAAATCATTTATTCTCGCAACGACAACTTCTCGCTCGCAACGACTTTTTTGGTAATCAAGTTTAGTGATAGTATTTAGTAATAATAACGATATGAAAATAATAGTCCATAAGTTTCTCGTTATCTATGCTTATAAAAATAACATAGGGTATGTCTGTATAGAGAAAACTATCCTATGCAGTACTCATCCATCAAGTACTGTCAATGGCTGATGGTTTACGATGTATAAACTTATAATGCCTTGAGATATTTTCGTTTCAGCATATATATAGCTTCAGTTATAATAATTTAGTCAACAATGACTTACCAATGGCTTGCTGATAAACATTTATGTTTCCTTTATTGTGCAGGTCAGAACCTTGTTGACACAACCTTATTGGACACTTCTGCATTAAAGGAGTCCATTTTGAAACAAGCACACGAGAGAACTGGCAGAGCAAGGGAGCCAGTAAAGCAGACAACCTCAGCGACCAAAGGTACGAATGCACGTTTCATATGCGCATATTTACAAGCATCTATAAAGAATGCCACATTGCTGAATTGTTGGCAAGGCTTTAATCCACGTTGATTCGTATCATGGAAGTATTCAGGAGTCCAGTTTGTGTTCAGCTGGGTTACACTATCAACTTTTTGTTGAAAAGTTGACGAGTTGATTAACTTTACAACTAATCGACCGAAGGTCGGCAGTGTGAACGTAAAAGTTTAGCACTCAACCAACTAGTTGATGTCAACTAGTACGTTCTAGTCTAAAAATGATCAAGCAGAGACGGGATACTAGAGAAGCGTTGCCGGAAGAAGGTGTTGACCCGAAGTGCTGAGCGCAGATCTTGCGCGCAGTTCCGCGGCAAGGCGCAGCGGCGACCGCGGATGGTAGTCCTACGACAGTATGCAGCGCTGGCAGCCTATGGATCTCGTCGCCGAATGCTACGCCGGCGCACGCATCCATAGTCTGCCTAGCGAACAGTCCACATATTTTAGTCGGGGGACACAGAGGGCAGACATTTGGGACGTGAACAGTGTTCACTGCTTGTTATAAAAACTATAATGTCCCTGTTCGTAACCTAGCTGTGTCACCGAAATCACAGAAAGACTGACGAAATTTTCGCGTTCGCGACTTGCCAGCCTAGTATGGAAATGGCTGCAAAGACAAAGGCAATATATAGACTGGCACTCACTCCCACCTCGATTACCCATCGAGTGACTAAGCTAAGCGCGAGAGGTGGAAGCGAGTGCCAGTCTAATGGCTATAGCGCGAGGCGCACTGCTTTTCCAATCGCGCGTACGAGCCTCGCCATTGGAACGTGCAAAAACGTTGGCAGTGTTGCGGCTGACAGCCATTCCATTACTGGCGCAAGGTTCGCGGACAGCGAGATATTTCGTCAGTACTGTGTGATTTCGCATACGACACAGCTCGGTTTCGAACAGAGACAGTTATGTTTTATAACATCGTGAATACTGTTGTTCAAGGAGAAACAAAGATGGAAGCTGTTGATGTGTATTCGTGCTGTGAAAGTTTCAAATGAAGTGAGCGTCGAGCGAATTTTGCGCAGCACGCTTTCCTACCTCGCTATATATATATTAGTGTAAGCGTGCAACAGTCGCGCCGCGAGGAGCAATGGCAGCCGGCAGCGTACGTTGGACGTAGCGATTTCGACGGAATTTACAGGAAACTCGGATCAATGGAATCCAGTATCGAAGAGAGTAGGCCTATGCTATAGAAACATGAAGAAGTATGGTAGTACAAAGTGTCAAAGTAATTCGATCATTTAGTTAGCATTATATTTTATTATATTTAGTTAGGAGTACTAGTAACACTAACAGGAGTCGTCTATTACTTAATATTAGTAACTTACTAGTACCGGTAACACAGTTTGTCATTATTAGCTCCACTGGTAGTAACTAGTACTAGTACAGTTATACTGTAGTACTAGTACTAGTCCTGGTAGCTTAGTAGTACTAGTACTAGAGTGTACTTACTACTACTAGTAATTATTGTAACATGTACTTGTAGTAATAGAAGTATTCGTAAGGTGTGGATTACAATTCGATGCTCGCATTGGGGGATCGTGTTAGATAATCATATATATATTAGCCTAGGTGCCTGTAGAATCACGAGTACGAGGCACATTGGTTTTTATTTGGACTCATGTTCTCTATCCTTGGGCCGTCCGACTCGGAGCCATCGCGAATCCACGTGAATTCTTAGCAAACACTTACAGTTCAAGCTTCCCACTGTTCACAGTTTAGGCACTTCTGCACCATGTTGAAATCTTTAGTTTGATGAGGATGTAACTATGCAGAGATACAATAGCAGATAACAGTGACAATGAAACTAACTGTAATACTACGAATAGCGAAGACGAATTCCTTATATATCGTATCCTCTAAACTCCGCTATGGCAACGCTAACGCCATGAGCGCTATATATTGCTTACAATGTCACAACAAAAAACTCCGTTATTACGGAAAGAGAAGGCGCGCCTAGTAGCCTACGAAAATTTGGCAGCATTTCTAGCCCGTCTCTACATAACTGGGTAGTGAGATCCCTCGTGCAATGGGCAGAACTGCTCAATTCAGCCGAAAGCCGCTTTAACCTAACCTCTAGGAAAGGACCCGCGATACTTGCGTTGGGTAGAAGGCAGCGACATTGCTAAAAGTGGGCGCTACGCGGCGTTTGAGCCGCTTCGCGCGGATATCCGGTCTGCATACTTGTCAAGCAGAGAGTCGGACAATAATATACTATTAGTCTATAGCAAAACAAAAATATTTTTATTAATCTGGTTTAAGATGACCTATATGTGATGTTTATTATGTTAAGGAGCTTTATAATTACCTAAAATCACAAATATGTTAGAATAACAATATTATATTAATAACTTATTGCTGTTATGCCTGGATAACCCTGATTGGGATGATAATGTTACTCCAGGATGGTAGACCATGAATTCCAAATTATCTGGCAAGTATTGTGTATCATTAATTTTATAATTTCTGCCATATCGGATTGGATGTGGCATACATGTGCGAAATTTGTTAGCAGTCATTTTACATCATGGGTACAGATGTAGCCCTGGGATGAAAGGGAAACCTTATTTTATATAATAAAAAACTAACGATTGAATCCATTTATCACAAGCAAGTTTTACATTGAGGAAGTAAATTTTGTAGTAAATTAGTAAAGGGTTTCTAGTTAGCAATAGCAGTTGTATTGGCTACTCTCAACCATAGTACATCCTACACGGAAGGTTTTGAGGGCCTATTGGTTATTTAGCAAGCACAATTATGATATTATCAGGGTTTCTTCTGAGGGAAAATTAGACAAAGGAGGTAATGCCCAGTTTGGGAAAAAACATGCATGCTGAATACAAATACAGGATGTATTGATATATAGATACTAGGGCTGTAACGATCCACCGAAATCGAATCGGATCGCTATTCTCTTCCCTCGATCCGATCCTCGATAATTTTTTCCCCGTATTTTCGGTTCTACTTCGATACCACTTTTTTCCTCCAATAGATGGCGGCACTACGCATAATACTGTCGGAGTGGTTATCTCACCAATGTTACTCAGCGTCTGTGCAGTGTATATGGGTAATTTTCTCAATAAGGGCACCTTTTTGATTTTTTTATGTCCAGGCCTCGCATTTTTTTATTAATGAATTCCAGAAGCATTATATCCATTAAAATGTAGATTGGGGATATTTCCACTTGGAAATAAACTTTCAGCACTTTATTGCACACGGTTTTTGAGTTTTAGGCAGAAAAATACGTTTTTTGGCTACATTTTAGAATGTCCGAGGTCTATGTCAGCATATTAAATGTCCCAGTTTCTTCAAGTTTTCTACATTGAAACACTCCTATCACAATATGTTCATTTAAAGTTGGTAGGAGTACAATATCCATAGCAAAAAAAAACTATTCAATACACTAGTTTCTAAAAAAAATATGAAAATACAGGTGTCCGGGCAAATCCACTCCACTCCATAACGATCAATGAAATGTCGCCCCCTATTGAAGGGAAGTAGAACTAAGACATGTACCTCATGTAAAAAGTCAGTTTGTGTAACCCCCATATATATGTCATGTGCTCTCAGTGTTGACACTTCCTCACAGTTTCTGTGAATTTTCACATCCTATTTCATCATCAGGTGGGTATACTTTCTAAACTCCACTCCATAACATTCATTAATATCCATGGTAACCATGGAACAACTTTTCAAATATGTCTATCATGCTACTTGGGCAGGGCCCTCCATAATATGACAGGATATTTCAAATTCTATCTTGCTGCTGAGTGGCTGAAGGTCATTTTGTGTAAAAATTTCAACTCCGTAACACTCCACTCCGTAACAATGACTTTGTTACGGAGTTGAGCTCTACTGTTACGGAGTTGTGATATGTGCTTAAAATGTCAAATATTTGTTTACAATATGATGTCAGCCCCTCTGCTCTTTAGGTCTTGTTCATTATTACTTTATATAGGATTACACAAAGTTGAAAAAATATTTGTAGCTATAGTATCATTTCACTGGGAAATGGAGTTTTAGTGATTTCGTTACGGAGTTGAGCTCTACTGTTACGGAGTTGTGATATGTGGCATTATGTGCTTAAAATGTCAAATATTTGTTTACAATATGATGTCAGGCCCTCTGCTCTTTCGGTCTTGTTCCTTATTACTTTAGATAGGATTGCACAATGTTGAAAACATATTTGTAGCTATAGTATTATTTCACTGGGAAATTGAGTTTTAGTGATTTCGTTACGGAGTTGAAATTTGTGTATGACCCTACTAAATATTTCAACTGTTGTTTACAATTATGATGTCAGGCCCTCTGCTCTTTAGGTCTTGTTCATTATTACTTTAGATAGGATTACACATAAATATTTGTAACCGATTATTATTTCAGTGCAATGGAATTTTAATGATTCTGTTACGGAGTTGAAGTTTGTGTTGAAGTTGTAGACCATTAATAACTTCCCAATAGCTCTCCCCCCCCCCTTCATTGAGACTGTGTACATTACGGCACTCTTGGATGGATTTTGTTTCAATTTTAGGCATCTAAAAATGCCTTTGACTAATAGTGAAAGGCAAAGACGTTTTAGAGATCGCATCAAGGCAGACCCTGCTAAGAGAGCAAACTTTAGGGGTTTTTCCAGAAATGTCAACTCCGTAACAAAAATTCCAACTCTTGTAACATCATTTTGTCAAATTCTAAAAATAAATCTACCAAATAAATGAAAATGATTTCCTCCAAAAAACCAACCTGGATACTATAACAGTCAAGTGTCTGGTCAGTTTTAAATTGTTTTTTATGTATGGATCATCATGGAAAATCCTTTCTTTAGAAATCGTTACGGAGTAGAAAGGGCCTAGAGACACCCAGAGATTAAATTCCCTCACCATTAAAAAGTGATGCTCAATTCCTGGTTGTACCCTACCTGTGATAAAAATCTAGAGGTGTTGCTTGCATGTTT